GAATTTTTGTACATGCATCAAAGTTAAGGGTGGTAAAATGTAATTATTTCCAAAGCTTAGTAGGACAAACTATATTGTTAATTTGTGATTAACCAAAAAATGCATTTTTCTCCCCAAAACAAAAAATGAAAAAAGCATTAATGAGTGCATTGGGATAAGGGATTATTTTGGATAGTGTCTATTTGTATCATTTTTATGGTTCAAACACAGAAAGCTTGCGTTTTGGAATTGTAACTGAGGACCCCGGCAATGTAGAAAAGCTGGAAAAAGACGAAATTGGCTCACAACAACCACCACACCACATACCCTTTTTTAAAAGTGGCTAATGCGTACTAAAATTACCTTTTTTTTTTCAGGCATGATAGATTATAATTTATATCTATTCCTACTCCATAGGAGAAGGAAGGGGGTGACCTAAAGGAGCTAAGGGAGCAAGAAACTGCCTACTCTATAGGAGGGGGGGGGAACCAAAGGGGCTATACTAGGGTGATCCAAAGGGGCTATACTAGGGGGAAGGGGGTGATCCAAAGGAATCAAGGGAAAAATTCAAGAACGGAACCATCATTAGTTTTTTTTTTTTGGACAAACAAAAGCACTTGACCCCACTTCAGGCCCCAACCTATATTCGAATTGTTGGATTATTCTCTATTTTTATGATAAGCCTCGAACACACTGGATCTCGGGTATGCTAACCCTTAGTGAGATCAGCTAGGTTGCCCTGGACCAGCTCAGCTCGAACACTGGTCCCATTGGTTCGCTGGCAAAATTTTTCAGGAATTCTAGACTTTTAGAATGTTGATCAAGAAATTTGATATCTTTTCTTCCTATGTCCAAAGAGAGATTTTTATCTCTTTTTATGGCCAACTACTCAAGTAATAGGTTTGTTGTACTAAAACTACTTTCTCAAGCAAGTTAAAAAGTGGCGGTACACTAGTGGGATCATCAGTTTCCAAAGTCCGACTCGAGCATTGCCACGCCTGGACCATCCCGTTTCTGTCGCCTCCTGCATCCCTTGCTCCGCTGCATTCTATGCAAACCGTGCTACTCAACCGTACGAGGACTAGGAAGGACGACGAAGACCCCAGCTCTTGCCTTTTCACTTTAACGTCAGATTCAACATCTCCACTCGACTTTCTTCGCGCCCACCCACTCCCACACACACACACACACACCCGCAGCCCCCACCCGCGGCGGGGCCTCCCTAAAAATTAAGGGATAATTGCAGAAACCTGGCTTGAGGTTTCTTTGAGTAGCACCGACCTCCCCTATGATTTACTAAATAGTACTAACCTCCCTTAGAAACTAATTGGGGCTATTGCTGTCAAAAGAGTGTATGAATTTACCTAGCTACCCCTAATTATTTGTTGTTATCTGATGAACGAATTTTACAAAAGAGTGAACGTTGCTTGTGAACAAATTGAGGGAGTAAATAAGCTAATTAATTACTAATTAAACAAATTGAGGAACTAATTGTTTAGTGTTACCCTTTCAAAAATGTTTAGTAGCTTAAACAAATTATTTAGTATTGCCCTCTGAAAAATGTGGACAAATCCAGGTTTGGAAGAAGTGTAATCGGAGGACAAAGTGTTGAATCTGTCGGCCGGTTGCTGATCATAGGAAAATCCACCGAATAATCAATATTATGGTCCTAAACCGTTGGGCAAATCTGGTAGACCAATTCGAACTAACCATGGAATGGATTGCAACCAGTTGTTGAAACTGGTGGAGAAAATGCAGAATCCGTCCAACAGATTCATGTTGGACTTCATTGTTTTAATTTTAAATGATTTTTGTGTTTTAAGTTATTTTTTACTTTCCAGTGTCTGTTTGGATCTTGTAAGCCTACTAAGGCATATCTAATCTATGTAGCATGTTAATTGAGCCTTGTTAGAGTTTAAAAAATTGTGCCAACTAAAGTTGTCAAGTCCAATTAGGGAACTTATATTGTTTCCATCTTAGATTAGATTTTTATGTCTTGTAAGGTTATAAATAAGCCTAACTTGTAATGTTTTCAGAAGTTAGACGAATATGAGAATTAAAGTTCGAGAGTTTCATCTCTTTCGCGTTCCTTTGTTATTGCCTTTAATGCAAAGTGAGTCGTGTATCCTCTGTTCAAATTTTAACTTATCAATTCAAGAATGCGTTGAATTGTAGCGCCTTTCTACCTTTCTAAATAATCTTGAGTTGTCATTGATTGTGTTAGAATCCATTTTTTCTATCCATAACCTGATCAAAATTGATCTTTCAGTTGCCTGATCGTTCTTCAAGATAGGTTCTTATTAGATCGAGTTCATATCAAACACTTCACCTCCAACTACCAAACTAACGTCAAGAAAACCAACTATGTTACCCCCAAAACCAGTTGTAGTAGTGGATTGCTAAACCATGCCTCATTTATAAGCTGGTGCAAGTTCAGACCTCATTTAACTGTTTAACTAGCCGTTGCTTTCACCTGATGCTTAAGTTGTTGCAAGTGCATTGGAAATGGTTTGCACTTATACCTTCTGAAGTTTATTGATCTTTAATAGATTTTGTTCTTTCTTTGCTAATACTATTAGGCAAGCAAGATGAAGGGTAAATCTGGCACAAATTTCTCATCTCACTTCTTAAAACAAATTTTTAATAGAACCCGACCGAATCTGCAACAGATTCCTTAAGTTCAGGGGTGGTCAATGCAATTTCTTAAACCAGATGGGAGGTGAGTGCTACTATCAAAAACCTCAGGGAAGGTTTATGCAATTTTCCCAAAAATTAAAAAAGCCTACCCAACTTTATTTGCTCCTATATCCTGCGATGGGGTATAATGACTCAAGAAAGAAGGGGAAAAAAAAAGGAAGAAGATGACCGGGTTACTTGCTTTGGAATATTTGAAAAATAGAGATAGGATATATTGAAATTCATAAGTAGGCCTAACTTTTGAGAAATTTGTAGATGGGATGTAGATCGCTACATATTGCTAAATGGCTAAAGTATTCTCGTAACAATGTGTGTTTTTATTGAATTGTATTATGCACCTTAATGACTACATATATGCATACATCTGAATATGCATAGTAACACCTTGTTCTCAATTGATTTTAGATTTTGATTTTGAAAATTTTATTTTATTGCGTTGTCAACTGCTTTTATATCCAGATTTTGGATTTTTTTAACCTAAAATAGCTAAAACTAAGAAACATTTATTTTGGTGTCTTTTGAATTTAATTTTAAAAAAAATCAGATTTTACATAATCAGAAGCAGTTGAGAACAATACGTTGATTAAGATATGTTTACATGTATACTCAAATGTGCACATATAAACGTATGTGTACTTACAAATGTTGGTATATACAGTAAGGGCAATTGCGTAATTTCGTGTATAATTTTTTTTTTTTTTTTACCATTCACAAACAATAACTTATACCTTATTTACAAATTTCTTCAAAAGTTACACCTTACTTATAAATCTCAGCCCTTCCTATTTTCTTTTTCCAAATTTTCCCTACTTGTTGTATTAGGAAAAAAAATTACTCCACTCGACCTAGCAAACAAATGAAGGGATAAGAGACACAGATAAGAAATACAGATGGTTGCTTTAAAAAATTTTTTAAAAAAAGAAGAAAAAAAAAACTATCCCTTTTCATGTCTAAATTACACGTGGACTGAGAAAGGGTAAATTTGTCATTTCATTTTAAAATTGCTTTGGAAATAAAATTCAAACCTCGTGTCTCAAAATGATCAAGCTTCAAATTCTATTCTAGTTACTATTTACTTCACTTTTAATTGAGTGTCATCCAAATGAATTTGCTAAAAATACTAAATAAACGCTAGCTCAAGTGCATATGATACTAAATGGGGGCACTATAGGCTTGATGATAGTGAAATGCTAAAGCATTTCCAGAGTACAATTCGTTACTGCTGCTACAATCTATCACGCGTGGTCCAGCAACATAAGAAACTAAGAAAATTTGTACAATTTTGTAGCCGTTATTGGACCCAAAGTGAAATCTGGCTACTAGACATTAATGGTTATGAATTAATGACTCGGGCAACTAGACAACTGACCCAAAGTGGCTCAGGTGGGGTGGGTTACCCAGAGAGTTGGTTTCCCTAAGAGTGGAAGTAGGTTAGACTCGATTAGATGTGCCGTTATGAAAAAAAAACTAGACATTAATGGTTATGAATTATGTAGATGCTTTGGAGGTTACTTCTATCTAGAGTTGCAAACGAATCTAGTTGAGTCAAACGTTGGGTTAATCAAGTTGAATCTCGACTTAATTTTATCAAATTCGAATTCAAACTTGAGATCAACCTCAAATTCAAGCCGAATAGAGATTAAAAATAAAAAATAATTATTTTGATTTTAAAAAATGAATAAAATAATAATTTTCTAACAAATAATAAAACATTATGGATATATAATTAAAAAAATTATAATTGAGTCAGCTCACAAGTTAACAAATTAAGTATTTTTAAACTCGAGTTCGAATTTTAACTCGAACTGATCGCAATCGGCTCGTGAGCAGTTCAACTAGTATATAACTTTATCGGCCCGTGAATCTTATCGGCCCGTGAACAGCTCGACTCGTATGCGATCCTACTTCTATCCAGCAGCGATGGTAAAAAACTTTTTCCCTTTTTGCTACTAGTACCATTAAACGAGTAGGACTTCCAATTTTTTTTTTTTTTTTAAAAAAAAAATTTGGGATGGCCATTCTTCTTTTTGGCCATGGAAGAGATGAAAAGCAATTAGAGCTCTTTTTTTTTTCCCTTTAATTCCCAAAAGTTGATACTACCGCTATAGTACCGTTTCTTTTTCAAACAGAATCCAAACCAATCATCTGTAGTGTTGGCTTTCAATTAGTCTACCGTTCCAAATTTCAATGTTTCAAAAAGCAAGCAGAGATTCCGAGCAAATTTGATGTCAACAATTGGACGGAATCTATCTAAGATATTAGAGTCCCTGGAAAGGAAAAGCATTCAGTCCAAGAAAAGGAAAAGATACTCATGGTCTCTGTAACCTCTTGTCTGCATTGATTTAGGAGCTGTCAAATAAGTACCACAAGAATGTACTCCACTTGTTTACTGGGCTGGAAAAAATGGAATGGTATAACAAAAATATAAGCCAACGACATACTATTCATTCAATCTACACATATTTAAATGGTTTCCTTCCAATTTTCTGAACAAACTAAATAGTAGTAGATTTAAATCAGAGGGTCAGTTTCTATTTTCTAGGAAGGACGAGGACGACTCAATCAAAGGCGGACCTCTATGCTAGCTTTTTTAACCACATTACACACGGGGCATGATTCAATAAAGGCTACGCAAGAATTGCACGAACAAAGGTGTCGGCAAGGCAGCAGTATAACGCATGAATTTCGAATGCTGCAGATTTTGCACTTCATCATCCCCACCTCATTGACTTGAACGTCCGGTTCTCCTCTTTGCTCCTGTCCTGCCGGATGACCAGAGTTCATCACAATTTCACAGCAAGACTCTGCATCTTCGACCCCATGGGCACCGGAATGACAAGCACCACCACCACCACTACCCTTCCTGAGTTGCTCGATGGCATTGTTCAGAGACATAATCATTGCTTCGTTTTCTTTGGCCACCCTTTGCCATGTCTGATTTTCAGTCTCCATCATTGTCAGCAAATCTTCGAGTTCTATCGTCCTCTTTATTTCCTTGGCAATTTCTTCATCTTTTTGTTGCAGTAAAAATTGTGCCTTTGATTCGTAGTTCTTCAGAAGCAAGGTGATTTGCTGTTTCCTCTGTTCTTGCAACGCCAATCTTAATCTTTCATTCTGTTGTTTAGCGCACATATATATATATATATATATCAATCTATTATCAGTCTTTTTATTTAACGCGGAAATGTGAGGAAATAAAACAAAGAAAGCACCTTTCTATCTCACCAAAAGATAGTTTCTAACCTGTAAACTGATTAACTGATTAATCTCCTTGTTTTGCTTCACAATCTGCGAAGCCACATTCGGAGAAAACGACGCCATTGATTGATCTCGTGCACGTAATGATCTGCTGTTTAAGTAGAAATCTTGTGGCCTATTATGTAACGGTTGCAATTGCATATTGGGGAGTTGTCCCTGTTGTTGTTGTTGTTGGTGGTGGTGGTGCTGCTGCTGCTGCTGCTGCTGCGGCGGATTGAGACAAAACTTACGGACTCCACAACCATTATCTACCAAAAGATCCTGTGAACCGCCCAAAGGAAACCCAAGATTCTCTGTATACATTTGTGCTTGAATAGCCATCCTATATATATATTCTTCTCTACCCAGAAAAAAAGGGCAAAAAAAAGGGGGCCTACGAGCCTCCAACTGTAACCAAAAAGGAGAACAGCAACCCTTTGTGCTCAGCACCCCACCGAAACAGCATCAGCAACAACCGAGAGAGATAGAGGTAGATGATACTGGGGTTGGGTTGCAGTTGTAAAACCAAAAAAAAAAAACTTATAGCATTCTTCTTGAATTGAATGGCTTTGGAAGGTTGGCAAAACCTATGATGCCTTGCTTTGTTGTTTGTTTGCTGAGATGGTGGGCTGAGGCTTTTAAGTTTTTTGTTCGGAGGAAGATGATGATATCAGAGAGAGAAGCAAACAAAAACAAGAAAACGAAAGAAAAGAAAGGTGGTGGAAAGGGTGGCTGGATTTGGTGGCATTTATATCAACATATTGAGGGTGATGGGATTTATTTACCTGCGAAATTGGCGAATAGATAATTCTCCTAAGTAGCATTATCATATTTGAATTAAGCAGTAACTGAAGAAAAAAATGAAAAAAAAAAAAAAGAGGAGGTGGGATTTTCATTTACCTGCCTAAGGATTCTAGTCTCTCTCTCTTCACTCACTTTCCCATATTTTTCCCTGTTGTTTCTTGTGGGCTGCAATGGCATTAAATTAAAGAAGATTAAAGAAAGAGAGAAGGAAAGAGAAGCCAATTTCCCATGGAAGAAGAGATGTGAAAAAGGAAAAGGCAACAGGTAAAAAAGGCAGAGAAGTAAACGTAAACGACGTAGCCATGCAGATTTTGGGTGGGTCAGAGATTCCAGAGGCGCTTCCTTTTCAAACGTGAGAAAGAAAACAAATTCCAATTCAATGATAATAATATACCGTCACCAACCGGCCCAAATTTTTCAGCGACTCGTCCCTACGTGATTCGGTCAGTTTTCTTTTTCTTTTTTTCAGTTTAGTTTATTTGGGAGTCTCAGATTTGTCAGTTTTTCGTCATCTGCCAAGGCTAAAGAATAGGATAACCACTTTTCTGTTTCCTTTCCCTTCTTCTTTTCCTAATTTTCCAGTCAATCTTTTCCCATAACTACACACGTTGATGTTTTCCATAAAAAAAGGGGGCCGTAAATGCACATTAGGTAAGTCCATTTTCCATAGGGGAGGTTTCTGACAATTTCACTAAGCTCCCTCCCTTAGTCCCTTGTCATTTAAAATGATAATTTTACCCTTAAATATTTTAATGAAATTCTCTTGTTTGGTAAGCTTATACTTAGAATGAGTTTTAAAATTATTTTTCATTAATTTTCCTTCTTATTCCTTTTTTTTTTATTTTTCTCCAATAAAATTGTAAAACTACCACTATTGCTTCTAGTTTCTATTGTAACAAAATGTTGAACTAATAATTTTTTTGACGAGTTAATTTTATATATAATCCAATATTTTTGTTGATCTTTGTTTTCTATTTTTTTGTACTAAAATTAATAATAAATAAAAAAGAAATGGCCCAAAATCACTACTAAATTATGATAATCCCACTATTTGAAAAATTTATAAACTCTAATTGAATTATTTCAACATTTCTATTTTATCTTATAAATCTAAATTCATAATAAAGTACCATCAAAAGTATCTTATCATAATAATAAAATTATTATTATAGTTGTTTATCAAATAGTAAGTATGGACATGAAAAATTTGGCATATTTTTCTTATTATTATACTAGACCATCTTATAATTATATAGAAAAATAAATTAAAACTCATTACATAAGGGCATTTTTGGGTATTTATTTAAAACATTGACCAAGTCAATATTATTTTAAGGTTTTATTACTAAAACTATCAAATCAAGACAGGTAAGTATAATTTTCTAAACCTCAGAGGAGCTCAGTGTAATTGTCAGAAACTTCAGAGGAGGTTTCTGAAATTATCCCTTTTCCACATTGGCATAATGGCATTCCCATTTCGTGTCCTGCTGGAGAAGCAAATGTGAATTTAACTTTGCTAATCATTACTAATTCCACATCATAATAAGATTACCATAAAGGTTAACCAATAATTAACGAAGGAAGCATCTTATGACCCATATGTTTCCCCTTCCTTCACGGGCAATAAATGGTAGTAGTAGCAGTAGTTGTTGTTGTACATATTTTACTTGAAGCGTTTTGCTATCATTCAAACCAAAAATAGTAGGTGTATCTTAGAATATCGAGCAAAGTGCCTAGAAAGGAATCCTAATCTTTTCGAAAATTAACACTTTTAAAAAGCGTAGGAGATTTTTTTATTATATTAGGAAGAGATTTTGGGAAATGACATTAAAATGGGGTGACGAGGATTGGATTGACTTTCGAGGAAATTTTCTTGACAACGCATTTTATTTTATGGTCGTTCAAAGGTGTTATGGGCAGCATTTAATGCCTTTCTTTTCAAGTCCAACCTGCTTCTTCCTTTCATATACTATTCATTATTCGTCACAGGCTCTTTTTTTTTTTTCAATTTAACTTTTTCTGAGGATTATCCACGTTGCTGTTACGTTTATCTGGTAATGCAAGCTGGCAAATGACACATTATTTTTACAACTCAATCAACCGCGCAATGTTTATATAGTACTATATGGATCACAATTTTAAAGTTTTTCTTTCCTTAACTCTCGTAGCAAAATAATTTTTTGTTATTTAAAAAAAAGGAATAAAATATAGAGTAAAAAATTTGGGAGTTCTTAAACTATTGCCGTTATCAACTTTTGGTCCCTCATCTAAAATTTGTTTACGATTGGCCCTTAAACAATAAAAAATGCATACTTTGAGGACTTCCGATGACTTTAAACACAAATCTGACCGGATTTAAAGGGCATCTTTGTCTGTTCATGTTTGAACCCTCGGGACCAGCAACTAAAACCCCAAGAATAGATTAAAAGATGCAACTCTTCAATTTTTAAGCAAACCAAACTCGAATCTTCGGAAATCCTTTCCAAAAATCCAGTTTTAACCATAACAAAAACGCATTTCTTGTTGAAATTTCATCTAAAGTATAAGAATGGCTAGATAATCTTTCAATTACAGCTATTGAAGGTTGCATGGGAAAAATTCTGTATTGAAAGCTACGGATCGATAGAGAAATGGATTGGATAATCAGAAGAAGGGATACATATTTTGATCCATATCTCGTATACGGTAATGTGCCTCTCGATTTGTAAGCTTATATCGTTGGGGTTTGCGTGTGTAATTGTTGTGTTATTATTGAAAGATTTGGGGCTGTTTCTTAGATGCTAGTTGATAGGGGTTTAGATATAGTGGAGGTTAATTAAATTAATTGGATGGAAACAAGATCTGAGAGTTTTGTCCTGTTGGTCGGTTGCATGGGGTCCTACTATATCTATGGTCCATTTTTAGTGTACTGAAAATAGTAACTTAATGAAATTTCTGGTATAGAGTTTGACAAAAAATAGTTGATGTTGCATGGGCAGTTGTTTATTAGCAATTTTGCTGCTTATTTTTACTACTCTATGAATATAGTGATTTTTTTTTTAATTTGATACATGATTGTGCAAAACATGGGAGTGAATATTTTACTATTAGATTGCAGTATGGGGGGCCTATTTAATGGTTCAGATTACAGATTTTATATTGGTGGTGAAGTTGATCATGTAGATTTGTGTGATGGTGATAGAATGTCAGTACTTGAGATTAATAGAATGTTAAAAAAACGGGGCTATGGGGAAGAGGAAGCTGTGTTGTACTATTACCTTGAGCCGACAAGTGTTCTATTTGATGGACTAAGGCAATTGCAAACTGATCAACATGTTAACCAGTACTGTAGTTGGGTACAGGAATATAAGGTGATGGAAGTTTATTGTGACCATAAAACCATTGAAGAGGTATTGAAAATGCAACTCAATGAGCCAGTAGAGACATATGCAGCACCACAAAAATCTGGTGTTTTGATAGAAAAAATAGATGATGAGGGCAAAGTTATAGAGGAGCCTTGTACTAATATGGTATTAACAAAAAAGCCTTTGAATGCTAGAATTCGAAATCAGAAAAAAAAAAAAAAAGTGGTGCAAGTGTAAGTGAAAATTTAACAGAAAAACAGGTCCAGAAAGACATGCTTAAACAAAAGATTCCAACTTCACAAGCTGAAATTGAAAGTGGCAAACAAAAGACAACAGCTAAGACAATGGGAGAGGTAGGTACTAGTAGGGGTAGAAACAATGATGATGCTGATGACACGAGCAGCAGCTCAGATGATGAGCAGTTCAGTGCTGATGATAATTTCTGCAGAGATGACTTGATGTTTGAGGATACAAGCAGTATAGATGAAATAGAAAATGGCCAGCAATCTGTGGGAAGCTAGCAGTAGGAGCCTAAAATGGAAAATGCGACTGGACTTCCAACATTCCTACCCAATAATCACAAAAGAAAGGCAGAAAGAATAGAGCAAGACAGCCTGCAACTTTTGGTTCAAAAACCATAGATGTTAGAGCTGCATTTGCTGGGGACAAAATAGATGATCAACTAGATAGTGGTGAAGAGTCATCCGAGGAAAGGGGAGGACATATCCCTAAATTCATTGACTTTATCCCAGAGAGGGACATGAAGAATCCAAAATTCTTTAAAAGGCAAAGATTTGCTGATAGCAGGGAGTTCAAAGAAACTCTTAAAAACTATGCAATTGTTAATGGTAAACCTGTGAAGCTTTGCAAAAATGAGAAAAAGAGTTAGAGCAAAATGTAAGCCCCCCCTGTAGGTGGTTTCTTTTTGCCTTAACAGTAAACTGTCTAGGCACAAATGACTTAGTGGTGAAGTCAATCTATGATAAGCATGAAAATTGTGGTCATGCTTGGAAGAATAGAGCTATTATCTCAAAGTGGTTGGCAAATAGGTATGAAGAGAGATACATTTCTAACCTACAACTGCCTGTGAAAGAGCTAATACAAACGGTTGATGAAGAATATAGGTCCAAAATCACTAGAGCAGTGGCATATAAGGCAAAAGCATTAGCTATTGAAACTGTGAAGGGTTCAGCTG